GCGCGTCACCCCAAGATCTAGATACAACAAGTTCCCATAGAACTTCCTGCAAGGATGTAAATGCTCTATATCTGTGCCATCCAATAGGACAGGCACACATGGCTTTTGAGCACTTGAAATATGGCTAGTGTAACTGAATAACTGAGTTTTTAAATTTCATTTCATTTTAATTAAGTTAAATAGCCACAGGAGGCTAGTGAACAGTATATAAATCAAGGATGTTACCAGTGACTTACATTTACCCTTGCTCACATGCCCCTCTTAGATAATACTGAATTTTGTTAATGACTTAATAGCCAAATGCGATAAATTTCCAAAGTCTAACTAATCTCTACAACTCTTCTCTAGTCCTTCTAAAACCTGTTCTCCAAAATTACTACTATGCAAATTGGACTTCTCTACTACATTCTTTTCTTAAAATTTTATTCCCTTGATGCTACCATTCTTCTAGTGTTCTATTTAGTTCAACCCCTGGCTTCTTTTTTACCTTTGCCCACCCACTAATTATTCCTATTCTGCCCCAGGAAAATTATCCTCCCCTGTCTCTTACTGTTTTTCTCTGTATATTTATATGTATCCTCTCCCTAGATGATTTCATGTACTTTCATTATTTCAGCCGACTGAATGACTAATAGACATTTGGGAATCTATAGCTTTACCTTGGACCTATTCTTTGAGCTTCAGTGCCTAATGAACTTCTTCATGGAGGTTTCACAAGTACCTCGCTTAACGTATCAAATTGAATGTATCTCCATAGCCTTTCCTCTCCCCCCCAAAAATAAAATCCCTAATTCTTTCTTATTCTTTCCCTCAGTTGACAGCACAATCATCTATCCCTACCCTTTTATCTGTGCTTCATTTTTGTCTCCAAATGCCAATTCACGCCAATTCATCACTAAACCCTGAATATTTTATCTCCAAAATATGAAGATTCCTTTCTCTACCCTCATTCAGGCTGTAGAAACCTCATACTCATACCCCTAACTAAACTCTATACTTCCCCTGTATTCCTTAAACCCATTCTCCACAATTACTACCATGCAAATCTACTTACCTTCTTCGTTTATAATTCTTTAGTTACTCTCCACTGCCTATAGCTGAGTTTATTTGTGTGGGAGGCGTGTGTGGAAGATTCAAAGAGCATGTAAATATAAACATGATAATGATGTCTAGGAATTCTTCAAAATGTTAAAGAGATGACCTGTGCATTCCAAATTTATCTTAATCCACAATGACCTACCAGTCCAAGCAAGGAGAGTATCCTCATAGAAATGGATATATCAAGTTATTTAGCACAAAACTACTAGCCATTAAGATGATCTTGTCAGGGGTGACCAAGTGGCTCAGTTGGCTAGCGCATGCCTTTGGCTCAGGTCATGATACCAGAGTCCTGGGATTGAATCTCACATCAGGCTCCCTGCTCAGCAGGAAATCTGCTTCTCTCTCTCTCTACATATATATATATATATCTGTCTCCCCTCCCCCTACTCATGCTCTCTTGCTCACTGTCTCTCTCTCTCTCAAATAAATAAATAAAATCTTAATAAGATGATCCTGTCATTATCCCAAGCAACTTGTTTACTTCTATTAGTAGAGAAAATGATCATCAATAATGATTTGATTTACTAATTAGTTTCATCTCTCACTGTTTGGTTTATGTATTAGTTTGTGTTTAATTAACACAAGACCATCCACTATGCACATACTGACAAAAAAAAAATCATCTGTCTCTGAGAAGTAGAACCTTGGCTGCACATTTCTATAGAAATAATTAGTGTGGTTTTTCTTAACTAACAGGAAAATGATGATTATACCAACTAGATTTCTAAACACTCTTTAAAAATTACTCCTAAATTCTTAAATTTCTTAAGAATTCTTGAATTCCTTGAAAAACTGTGTTTGCTTTTGAGGACAGTTTACCTGAAGGTTCCTTCCTAAAAAGTCTACGTCAATCTTGCAATGCCAAGATTCAAGTCACAATGCCAAAAAGCAAATTCTTCATGAGAGTCCATCTGAAAGGCACCTGGGTGGCTCAGCCAGGTAATTTTGGCTAAGGTATGATGTCAGGATTGTGAGGTAAATTGTGTGGTGGGTGCGAACCCTGCTTAAGATTATCTCCCTCCCTCTGCTCCCCACTCAAAAAAAAAAAAAAAAAAAAGAGAGAGAGAGAGAGAAAAGAAAGCCCATCTGAAAATCTCAATTAATATAAATTAAGGTGGAGATAGGATCAATTATGTCAATCACAAAACCAAGCAAATTACTGACATCATTCCTCTCATGTAGACTATCATTAACCAACCTTTTAAAAAGTACACATAAGGGGCACCTGGGCGGCTCAGTGGGTTAAAGCCTCTGCCTTCAGCTCAGGTCATAATCCCAGGGTCCTGGGATTGAGCCCCCGCATCGGGCTCTCTGCTCAGCAGGGAGCCGGCTTCCTTCCCCGCTTCTGCCTGCTTTCTCCCCACCCCTCCGCCTGCCTCTCTGCCTACTTGTGATCTCTGTCAAATAAATAAATAAAAATCTTTAAAAAAAAAAAAAGTACACACAATATTAAGCCTACACCTAATAAAGACACCATACTCTCCCAAATAAAAGCACTCTCAAGAAGAGCTTCTGGCAACTTCTCTTCAGTCTGAAAAGCTGCTCCCGTTTGTCTTAAGATTTGATAAAACTCCTAAAATTGAAAAACCAAAAAGCTCCTAAACCCAACTTTATTTTTTTCTAACTAGAAACCTTATTTTATTTTTTGCTAATTTTTCTTTGGGTTAATCCAGTTGAGGTCAATTAGGAATGGGTGGGAATTGAGGAAAGAATCTGTCAGTATTAGAATCTGGGTGCTATTCTCTTCCAGACTTTTAAAAATTTTGCTTTTTAACTTTTACAGAGCTAAACAAAGTAGTGAAAAAAGGAATTATATCATCTTTCCAATGCAGCTTTTTTTAAACTCAATTATAATTCCAGTGCCTTTTCCCCAATTTTCTATTGCATGTCCTAAAGACCAACTTTTTTTTTTTTTTAAGATTTTATTTATTCACCTGACAGACACAGATCACAAGTAGACAGAGAGGCAGATAGAGAGAGAGAGAGGAGGAAGCAGGCTCCCTGCTGAGCAGAGAGCCCGATGCGGGACTCGATCCCAGGACCCTGAAATCATGACCTGAGCCAAAGGCAGCGGCTTAACCCACTGAGCCACCCAGGCGCCCCCTTAAAGACCAACTTTAAGAAGTTTAAAATATCCAACCAATTTGTAACAAGTGACAACATAAGTCCTTTAAAAAATGGATTTTTTTTAAAGCACCATTATCCTTTTATTATCTATAACACTTTACAAAGTACCTTCACATAGTTTTTCAGTTATCTTCAGCAATCCAGTTAAGTCATATTACTAATAAATCAGCATTACAAATTTAAGTTCCTTACTCAGAGTCAGATAATTGAGTAACAGAGAACCCAAATGTTCTACAACTATTTCTAACTTAGAAAAGAACATAGTATTTATTAAAGTATATTGAGAATCTACTTATATCTTCAAAGAGCTCAAGGACTAGTTAAGGAGACCGAATATAAACAATTTCGAATCATTCTGAAGAACACCATAAGAATGATCCCAAAAGAAAAAAGATCTCAGCAAATTCTGGAAGGTAATAATTCAAAAAGGCTGGCATTTGAGAAAGTGACAGGTCATAAAATTACAAAGTTAGGCAGAAGACGGGTAAAGCTAAAGAATTTCAAAGCACTGATAACATGTTCAACTCCAAAGTTCCCCCATAAGAATGATAGCAGCAGTAAGAGTTTTGCTACATGAATTTTCAAGCTTAAGTATAGACAAATCAAACAAAATGTTCACAAATATCCTCAAAAAGACAACCTAAAAAGATGCTGTATCATCACAGTTAATACTTAATGTGCGAGGCCCTGTCCCTAATGTTTTACGCTTATATAATTCATTTAGCTGTAACAACAACTCCAGAAAGTAGGTACTCTTATTACATCCCATTTTATCAATAGAAAACTAACACAGAGGTTGCCCAGTGACACAATCATTAGCAGAGTCAGAATTTGAATTCAGGCAGTTATGTTCTTAATGACTGTGTTACACTGCAGAAAATAATGCCCTCTTCAAACCTAAATTTAGGTCATGCATGATAAGTCTCACCTATGCCTGCACACTACAGGCATTAACAGTAGTCCTGTTAAGAAAAGAGAAAAAAAGAAAAAACCAAAAAAATTCCTCAAATAAAATGCAAGATGCTAAAAATAAATAAATACAAAGAACTGGTACCGCAAAATCTAGTAACTATTATGAGTTTTTTCATGTTATACTAACATTTTCAGAAATTATAATTTGAGCATAACCACTCTTGCTTTTACAGCTTTATCTAAAAAACTTAAGAGCTACTAGAAAACCCAAATAACAGGTTTAGAGTAATTTCTGAAAATGAGAGCTCAGTTTTAGTTGAATGTTTCCATAGAGATTAAGTAGAATGACTTTCAAGTGACCGGAATCTTGCACTAAAACATAAATATCAAGAAATGAACTCAATCACCATACAACAGATTCTTCATTTGTTTTACACAAAAACAACCTTACACTAGGAATAACTGTGATAGTTAAGATACTTAAGGTGAGGAAAAAAAAGTAATAGAAAAGGAAAACATTTAAACCCTTAACACTAAGAAAAATCATTGAAAAGTCAACTTAAATATAATTCTCAATTCCTGTACCACAAAGATTACTTCCTACAGCAATAAATTTACATAGAGTTTAAATCATACCTAACCAAAATTATGCTGTCTTTAATCCCACTGTCTCATTAGGAGGGAAAAAGGATTACCTCAAACAAGTTACCGATCATTCTTTAATTTGCAAAGCAGCAACACTTGAGTTATCTCAATGTTGCCCATACTTGTCAGTGATTGAGACTTTAAAATAAACAAGAAAAACCTCCAAAGACTACTCCCTGAAATCTTGTTCTGGGACTGAAAATTACTGAAGATTCTCATCCTGAAAAACAAGGAATTTGGCACAAATGTAAAAAATAAAAGCAAAAAACACATCAATGTTCAAATGGAAGATTCAGTTCAGGAGTTATTTTAAGAACTAAAGCAAAGAAATCACAGAACCACATCACATTTCTGCAGCATTGCTAAACTTTATAAAACATTAATAAAAACCTGTACACTTGAAACTAATATAACATTGTGTGTCAACTACACTTCAACTTAAAAAAAGTAAATTAAGTTCAAAAAAATTAATATCATATACTCATGATGAGACATGATCCTTAATTAACAACAACAACAACAAAAAGAACCCAGAGCAAAGCAAACACTAAGAACACTGGAGCTTAAACAAAATTTGACTTCCCCTTCCAAGCTGATCAGGAAACAATCTCATCAATATACAAAATGAATATACAAAGTATCAAATTATCAAGTGAACTCTACAGAAGCAATTTGGGGAGAATGTACTTAAAGTGAAGTAAAATCATTTACAAATCTGTGTATAAATACATATTCATAAAAAAAATTATGCTACATTTCTTAAAAAACTAAGATCCGTACATAGAAAAGCAATGTAAACTCTGCAAAGTCCAGCAATAACATTTTCTGTCCAAGGCAACTGAGTGTCAAAATTAAGGTGCATCATTTCCCTAATAAAATCAAGTAAAGAAATCTGCATCTTAAAAGACCAAAGTTAGGACTTAAGATCCTGTGGTATCAAAGTATTAACTAATATTATTTACTAGGAATTGATACTTGTTTTAGTAGATAACTATGCATACTATGACTCTAAAAATTAGCCTGACGGAAACAAATTTGATTTGTATACCACATTCCCTCATTCTCCATCCCAAAAAAGTCTATTTACATATTTGAATTGATAAAATCAATACCCAAACCAAAGTACTGAATTTGCTATGGTTATAGAATTCTGAAGAAATCTGACAGGGACTTCCACACCAAAATACAACTGCTTCATTTGAGATGTACTAATCAGCATCTACTAAACTACAAATGCTTTAACATTTCCCAAATCATTAGACCGTAACCAGTTTTTTTCGGGGCTCCTAGGTGGCTCAGTCAGTTAGTTAAACATCTGCCTTCTACTCAGGTCATGAGCTCAGGGTCCTGGGATCAAGCACTGAGCCCCATATTCCGCTCTCTGCTCAGCGGGAAGCCTGCCTGTCTCTCTCCCTCTGCCACTCCCCCTCCTTGTGCTCTCTCTCTCTCTCTCACTGTTAAATAAATAAACAAAATCTTTAAAAAAAAAAAAATCCTAACCAGTTTTTTTTTTTAAGATTTTATTTATTCGTTTGAGAAAGAAAGAACACTGAAAGAGGGAGAGGCAGACTCCCAGCTGAGCAGAGAGCCCAGCTCAGGGCTCAATCACAGGACCCCTAGATCATGACCTGAGCCCAAGGCAGATGCCCAACCGACTGTGTCATCCAGGTGCCCTGATCCTAACCAGTTTAAAATTTGTCCTTTACCAGTCTAAGTAAGTCATTTACCTGCTCCATGATTTCAGGTTCTTTATCCAGTAAGTAGCTGGGCAGAATAACCTAAGATTTCTTACAATTTCAATACACTAAGATTTTTAACTCAACAACTGAATACAATACTTCTCCTACCTTCCTACAGACAAGTATGTATGTTAGGAGTATACTTTCAGTGAAAAAAGCTTTGCTTTCTTCCCAATGCTTTAATAATCCCTTGACTTGTCCTTTAATTTGTATCCAAAGACAAGAACTCAAACACCTAATGAACACATTAGGCAAATGTCCTGGGTGAAGAAACCAAAAATGCTGCCCAACTACTGGCTATAAAGGATCCTGGGGCTAGGAAAATCGCATTTTAAAAAAACAAAACAAAAAATTGTATAAACAGGGTCAAATGACACATGAAAGTTTCTAAAGCAGGGTACCACTCAATGAGCTAGGATTTATTTGGTTCTACAGCCAAATCCTCAACTGGCTTAAAAATAATATGGTGATATTATACATAAGGCATCAGATATTCTTTAATTTGACCATGCCCAAGTCTAGACATAGAACAAAAATCCAAAAAGCAATGAGTTCAAAGAAAAACTGAGAAGCTTAGACAAAATTATTATGACATTAGACAAACTGATTTTTCCACTATATCATTAGTTCCAAGATAAATAAACAATCAAAAAATGCCAGGTGAGGGGCGCCTGGATGGCTCAGGTGGTTAACTGGCTGCCTTTGGCTCAGGTCATGATCCCAGGGTTCTGGGATCCAACCCCACAACAGGCTCCCTGCTGGGGGAGGGGCGATGTCTGCAAGCCCCTCTCCCTTTGCCCCCCTCCCCCCCACCTTGTCCACTCATGCTCAAATAAATAAGTAAAATCATTTTTTAAAAATTCCAGGTAATTAAGGAAAACACACACATTACATTCTGATGAATCTTCAAAGTTAAATCATTGAAACTAACAAAATTAATCCATAAAGTGCTCAAAATTTACTTGGGTCCAGTCTTAAGAAAGTAAGGTAACCAATTAAAAATATATAGATCTATAAAGCAATATTCAAATGTAAAACCTTAAAAAAGAATAAAATCCAGGGGCGCCTAGGTGGTTCAGTGGGATGGGGCCTCTGCCTTCAGCTCAGGTCATGATCTCAGGGATCGAGTCCCACAGCAGGCTCTCTGCTCAGCAGGGAGCCCGCTTCCCCTCTGCTCTCTCTCTGCCTGCCTCTCTGTCTACTTCTGATCTTTCTCTGTCAAATAAATAAATAAAATCTTAAAAAAAAAAAAGAATAAAATCCAGGATCAGCAGCAATAGGCACCCCAAGTACAAAAGCAAAAAAAAAAAAAAAAAAGTGTCCTCGTGTAAACCAAAATTTTTGCCTGTAAACCTGTAAACCAAAAGAATCAGAACTAAGTTTTTGAGTATGACTGACCAATAGGAATAAAGTTATAGTTTGACAAGATTTTTTTCAAAAAGGCCTGCACCCTTGCCAATAGAAACCACCATAAAATTTAGTAGTTTTTATTTCACCATGCCTTAGAAGTTCTACATCATTTACTGTAAAACTTAAGAAATTATTATGTTCCTAAAGAACTTGTCAGTTTTTAAGTTCACTTCCTTCCACATATTGACTTCCCTTCACTTTTCATATGGCCTTGGTCATTTGGAAGATGGCATTCAAAGGGTTAACATTAGTTCATGGATAAAATAAACTCCTAGATTACTCGGTCATTTTCATATTCTATTTTGATCCATTTTGTCCATTTTCTTGACAAGAAGAATATGGATAATGGCATTTTTCCTGTATACTGTAACTGACTTTTTCATTCAGTCTAACTCTGATTCTTCCAATAACCTCCGTTCACTTCCAGATGAGGGCAACATTCAATCAAGCTGCTATATAGGTCAAACAACAAGTTGCCCAAATCTGGCTATTTAAACATAGAATATACTTGTCAACCAGAATGACACACCATTATTTACACCATGAAAACCTCCCTGAGAGGTTAAAAGCAAAGCATTGTGAGTCCTTTGGACTCTTGGGAAAGACTGGCTTAAAAACCTTTCATAACAAGTTTAAAATAACCACAGTGACATTACAACTCTCAAAGCACTTACACAGTTTTACATGGGCTCTTGTACTAGTCGCTGTATAGTGAGTGGGATGAAGACTTACTAGTTTTAATTTATGCTGTCAGATAACTTTTAGCTACCAAAAAGCTTAAGCATCAGATTCAAGAGGGACGATAGCAAACACTTACTGTACCTTTCTAGTACGAAGGCATTTATCCAGAGAAGAAAGTCTTTTTTATAGTTTATAGTAAATGCCTGTGCAATCACCAACTAAGATATAGCCCAAGTAAGGTCATTCAGGAGCAAGGTCGTTCTTACTTTAAAAGTACAGCCTGATCTCAGGCATGGAAACTCGCATGTAACACACCAGCAGCTCAACAGTGCAGAGCCTCCAGTGAGACTGAAATGCAAAGGGCAAGAAGCCTCTGTACTTTCCTAACTCAGAAACTTTCCCACTAACTTCGAGTTTCCTGCCAGACACTAAAAGAGTAACAAGTAGGTAAAGCGTCTGTACTAAGATGATTTTCATCACTCCCCTCTAGTAGCAAACTTCTTTTTGGCTACCAGTAATTGTTATCCTACGTTGGTCATGCCCCAAATTCTACTTTCAATTCTTTCAAAAGTTGACCTCCCACCCCTCCCGCCGCCCCCGCCGAAGCGAACAGTTAAGAGAATGACCTGTAGGAGAGAAATTCGATCAACTGGATTCACCCAGCCAAATGTAGGTCCAAACCACCGTAAAATAAAGAAGTGGGGCTATACCTGCAGTTCACACCAGGCGACCTCCACAGTAGTTTCAGTGTCCAGACCTTTGTAGACGGTCTTAAAGGAGCCTCTGCCGATCTCGATGTCAAACTTGAGAAAGCGGCCATCATTGGACATTCCCACGGCCTTGGTCTCCAGCTCTTCGATGTCATCCTGTTGCTGGCTCCGCTCCTCCTGCGGTTCCTTGGCGCTGCCGCCGCCGCTGCCGCTTCTGGCCGACGGAGGCTCCTCTTTGCTCCCCACATGGTTGGGCGGGGACACTTGGCGATCTCTGCTGGTACTGCCGGGGGCTGTCGCGGCGGCAGGGCCCGCGCCGGCTGGCTCCCCGGGGGCGGCAGAGGCGGGAGGGAGCTGCGCTACCTGGGCAGCGGCGGTGGCGGTCAAGGTCTCCTCGCGGTGCGGCTCCGGCGGAGTACTCTGAGGCGGGACCGCGGAGGCGGTGGGCTGGGGGAGAGGAAGGGGAAGGCCGGGCAGTTCCAGCGCCGTGGCGTTGGAGTCGCAGATGACGCTGCGGCGGAAGAAGCGGTGCTCCGTGGTGGTCGTGGTCGCGGCCGCGCCACGGCTGTCCTTGTCCATAGTGTGGCGGCGACGCCGGTACTCCTCCGTCCGGCCGGTCCCAGCGTCGGACGCCGCGCTGCCCAGTTTTTCTCCCACCGAGGAATCGGAGCTGGAGCCATTCTTGGCGGAAGGCGCCGGCGGCGAGAGGAACAGGGCGCTCGGAGTGCTGCTCTGCTTCTCTGCGGCGCCGCCAGACATGGTCGGTCCGAGGAGCGAGACGAGCGGGTTCGGACTGGTGAATGAAGAGAGGGCGAGGGGCCGAGCCCGCAGAGCGGCGGCGGGGTGCGGCTCCCGCTACGAGGGCTCCGGCTGCCGGCGGGGTCGGATGCGCCCGGACGGCTCCTCGCTCAGCACTGACAAGCCGCCCCGAAGGAGACGCGGGCCCCTGGGCCCAGTTGCGGCGGCTGCTGCGGCTCACGAGGCGGGCTCGTCGGCGGGCGGTCGAGGAGCTGAGGCACGGGGGTTAGCGCCTCACGGTCCGCATCCATCCTGCGGCGAGCGGCGGCGGGGAAGCCTGGAGCAGCAGAGGCGCCGCAGTCATGAGGGGTTAGGGCAAGAAGCCGGCACCGAGTCGAAGCGGATGCGGCGGCGGCTCCAGCTCCCGGGGCTGGGCGGGCTAGGCCCCGGGGGCGGCGGCAACGCGAGGAACGGACGAGCGCGGACTCCCGAGCGGTGGCAGTCCCAGAGCCGACGAGTGTGGGAGGGGCCGAGGAAGGCAAGGGAGGGAGGGCCTGCCCGGGGGCTCCGGGTCAGTCAGTCAGTCGGTCGCCTCCTCCCACACGCGCCCCCAGCTAGGGGGACCAGTCTCACAGGGCGCCCATCGCCCGGACAGGAAGGGCCGAAGCCTCGAAGCCTCGGTGCCTGAGGAGCGGGCCCCCCCTTCCCCGAGGCCTCCCCGCCCGCCCCGGGCCTGGCAAACCCCGTCTCCTCCCGGGCCGGTGCCGGGGGCTGACGGAGGGAGGGAACGGTGGGGAGGGGAGGGCCGCTCACCGCGGGGCCCGAGCTCCGCTGCTTCTCTGGGCCGAGAGGAGAGGAGACCGAGAGGATTGGGTGACGGGGGTTAGGGAGAGTAAATAGTCACCCCCACCAGGCGCTTTCTGTCACCGAAGATAGGGGTGCAGAGTGGCCGAGTGTGAAGAGCCGCGTCCGCCGGGGAAACTCTCAGCGCTAAATGGCGCCGGGAGTCTGAAGCCTCCACACAGCCCGCTCGGACCCCGCCCCCCGCCGCCCGGGGCGCCCCACCCCCACCCGGCTCTCGGGGCTCTCGCGCAGCCGTGCTAGTACCGAGGTTCTCTGGGATTTGTAGTTTTCGCCTTTGAAGCATGAAAGAGATCGGGGAGGAGGGAGCCTACGACTTCCGTGATGCTCTGTGGTTGCTTTAGCCTGATGCCTCATGGGAGTTGTAGTTTTCTTTGGAAACCGCCCCTTCTGGAAGGCTGATGGGAGAGTCACCGTAGGTCGCTAAACCCCATCCTTAAACGCTAGCTAGGAAAATCATTATTTAGGGTTTAATTGTGGAAAAAGGGCCGGAAGAAAAAAAAAAAAAGAGGGAGGCAGAACGAGAGGAGACACTCCCATCATGCTCTGCTGAGGGGGGAGAGCGCTAAGAGGTTGCCATGCGATGAAAGATGATCTGTTGTTCATCTTTAATGGAGAGAACCGCAGTAGTGTTGAATGATTGTAAGGGTGTGGGGGTGGAGGAGGAAAGCAAAGCAAAGAGAACCAGAACCTGAGCCCAGAGAGCCAGAGGGGCTGAAGACTCCTTCCATAGGGTAAAAGAAATTTTGTGAAGATTGTGCATGGGATTAATAGTGATTAAATGGGTTGGGGGAGGAGACAGAGAGTATTACCTCCTCTCCTCTTCCCTTCCATAACAATTAAGGCCACACTCTCAGGGGCAGCCCCACGATAGATATTCTGGCTCTCAAAGATGGGCTGCCCTCCTGAAATCCAGGATCATAGCGAATCCTTTGCTTTACCAGAAAAAAATTAACGGTGAGGTGAGCGATGATTCTAGAAAAGAGATCTTTGCGTCTTTTACCACAAACTTGAAAGAGCAGAGTTGACTTTTGCTTTGTAGTCGGTTGAGCTTCATTTCCATCTTTCATTTGCTTGAGGGCTTAGTAAAACAACATCCCGTTTCTCTAGAGGTACATGAATGTACACATGTAATTTATACGTGGCTTTGGACATAGAAGAAATCTAGATCCAGGTGGTTCACGGTAATGGAATGCTTTTCTTGAAAGCATCCTTGGGCTATCTGGACCCCTTTGCTCCTCGCAACTACTCGAGATTGTACAGGTGATGAGCACCAGGGGGCACCAGACAGAGTGGGAAGCCCGACCAGTCAGATGGCAGTTAAAAGTAAAGCTCTTAGCCCACCGTAAGAGCGGGAAGATCTTAAACGTATGCAAACGCAGCAGAGCGTTCATAGACTCCCGCCTCTGATCAGCGCCCGCTATCGAACGAACTCAGAAGCACACTTCCTAGCCCAGCGCCCTATGAGTAGTTTGGAAGCAACCTGACAGAAGATTCGTTAGCACCAGCTTCCTAGAAAATGCCCACAACTTACCGGGATGAACTCTACCTAGAGAAGATTTGCTATATAATTTATATTGATTCATCTGATATGTAAAATAGTTACACTATTTTTCAATTTTTTCCTCAAAATCTACCCTTTCAGATTTACAAAAAGTTTGTTGGTTCTAAAAAGAAAGGTTGTTAGGTTTCATGAAGCTGACAGAATATGAACACCTTAAAATATGAATTCAGGAAGGCAACTAGAGTACATACTATCAAGGTCCTTGACAATCATTCCTTATCAAAAATTTTTTTTCAACAACTAAATTCATTGTAAATAATTAGCTGTTGAGGTAAAGCCACCCTTGCCCACCTGACAGCTTCTCCTACCAGTGTAACATTAGCTTTACTATGAAAACAGGTACAAGTTTATGTTGAATATAACCATATTGTGTACAATGGTTGGATTTAAAGGTTGAACTGTTTATCATTTGCCAAGTTCCCTTTTTAATGCTTACCATCTTACAATTAACATGATATTTTCTGTTACTCATTACTATAATATCCCTAATAGTACGTTCCCTGTTTCTGTCATTTCAATGATCAAATAAAGAATGGATCCCCCTGTAATCCATATAAAACATCAAGTGACATAAATAGAAGCAGCAGAAAAAACTCAAGATACCATGGATGCGCTAAGCTCAGAGATTTTAGTTCCTGACAGGTGGATCCCCAGTATTTTATTGTCTCTAACCATGTTCTTTGTTCACTTTAGTCCTTGTTCATTTTCTCAAACTGAGTCATGTTTCTATTTCCCATCAACTCACAATTTATGTAAACATGGTCCCTGCCATTGGTGTCTGGCTAGTAATGAAACCAGAAACAGCTTTGATTTAGACCGTGGCTGAACATACAAAATCTACCTTATTTTGTATGTGGCATAATCCACAGGGTAGCTTCTTGAAGTATAGGGGAAAAAAATACCATCTTGAGAACATTTCTTTTTTTTGTCTCCTTTCATTTCCCATGCCTATGGATATTTTTAATTTTACCTCGCTGTCCTGTGGAACTCAAGGAAGAAGGAAGAGTCAGGCAGTTAAACAATGAAGAAGAGACTTTTTTAAAACCTTTTTTTTAAATAATGAAATACTGGGGAAGGCAGAACTTTCCCTATATCAAAGTACATTATAAAACTATAGACTAGGGGCGCCTGGGTGGCTCAGTGGGTTAAAGCCTCTGCCTTCGGCTCAGGTCATGATCCCAGGGTCCTGGGATCGAGCCCCGCATCGGGCTCTCTGCTCAGCGGGGAGCCTGCTTCCTCCTCTCTCTCTGCCTGCCTCTCTGCCTCCTTGTGATTTCTGTCTGTCAAATAAATAAATAAATCTTTGAAAAAAAAACAAACTATATACTAACTGTATGACATTGAGATAAGCATAGACAATGAAACAGAAAAGATAATACAGAGTCTTATGTGTAGATGGGAATTTTGCATATGAGGAAGATGGCATCTCATGTCAATGGAGAAAGGTTAAATAGTGTTTGGATAACTAGTTATTCATTTGAAAAACAAGTTAGGTTCAATGTCTACCCTCACCCTTCACAAAATTAGTGTTCACATAGTTTAAAGACTCACTTTTCAAATAAGCTCTAAGAATTTTTAGAGTCTAGGAAAACACCGGATAGGAAGGGACATCAAAGAAAAACCCAAAAGACATAAAGAAAAATATTTGACTATTTCAAAATTGACAGTTCTGTTCAATAGAACACAAACAATGAGCTGACAGAAAAATTTGGAAATGTGTATAGCAAAAGACTAACATTCAAAATATATATAAATAACACCCTAAATCACAGAAGAATACAATCCTATAGAAAAAGGTGACAATTGACAGAGGAGGAAACCCAGATGACAAAAATAAGCTTTAAAAAAATGGTGGGGGTGCCTGGGTGGCTCAGTGGGCTGGGCCTTTGCCTTCAACTCAGGTCATGATCTCAGGGTCCTGGGATAGAGCCCCGGTTCTGGCTCTCTGCTCGGCAGGGAGCCTGCTTCCCCCTCTCTCTCTGCCAGCCTCTCTGCCTACCTGTGATCTCTCTCTCTCTGTGTCAAGTAAATAAATAAAATCTTTTTTTAAAAAATTAAATTAAATTAAATTTAAAAATGGTGAAACTCAGTAACTAAGGAAGTGCAAATTGAAACAAGATATATACTTTTCCCTTATAAAATTGGCAAATTTTTTAAGCACTTAAAATATCAAGTACAGGCAAAGGTGTAGAGAACTCATGTGCTATTAATGATAGCATAAATTAGAAGAACCTTTTTTGAGGGTAATTTGTTACTAACTGAAATGTACAATGTGCACAGCCTTTGAGCTAGCAGTTTCCCTTCTTGGGAAACTTCCCTGCCCTGCCCTTCCCTTCCCTTCCCTGCCTTCTAGAAACACTTTGCATATATGCACTAACAAATATCTATAAGAAGATCCACTATAGCTTTGCCTATAACAAGAAATTGAAACAATCTGCATGTAGTTAAACTATAGTACATCTAATTTTGGGAACATCATGCAACAGGAAAAGAGAAGGAGGTAGATACATATGTGGTGGCATAAAAATAGTAAGTGAAAAACTCAAGTTGCTGAATAATATGTACTAGATCATATGTTGTATTTTTTAAAAATTTTGTTTCTATATGTATTTCAATGCACACAATAAAAGTATGGGCAGTATACACCAACATGAAAAGCAGGAGGTTACTTCCGGGGAATACTCTTATCTATATTGTATGAATTTCCTAATATATTC